CGCGTCAGTTATAAACGTGCTGCTGCTGGCTATTTTAATAAAGGAAGAATTTTTTTTCCCGTCTTGGTGTGCGGTGTTCCTGTTACTAAAATTGATGTTCTACCCTGTTTACCTTCATGAGAGCAATGAGGGGGAAAAAATACTAATATTACAGCCTGAGGAAAATCTGAATTACATTCTGTAAGCAATAACAAATACATTTTATGTGGAATGTCATCAGGAAAATTGCAGCCTATTTCACTGTTTAATCTAAGCTGTATATACAATTGTACCAACGGGGAAAAGAAGACTCATTCTAAATATCACTAATAATCTACATAATAATCTCGCTATATAACTAATATCTAATACAATATTCCCCATGGATCCCCATAAAATTGCCTACATACTGTATATTCTCATTGGAAACAATTTGCTGGAGAAAGTGAATTCCAATAGCCTGTTGGCTTTAAACTTTGTATTACAGCACCTTATGTTTGCTACTCTGTAAATACTGGGTCCGCAGGCTATGAAACTTTTGGATATATATTTATTTATAGAGTGTTACTTTAAATGTCGATCTAAGGATTGTTGTTGGATTAATAAAATTATGTGATGAAATTATATACAAAAACATCTCAGTAATGTGCTTTGCTTAGGTGAATTTTGTATTAATCTAAGCCAGGGGTGCCCATTAGGTCGATCGTGATCTACCAGTCATTCGCAAAGCTAACGCTGGTAGATCGCGTGTCGGCTCTCTGCCCTTTCTGTGGTGCTAGTTTGGCTGAATCTGTCGGAGGCTGCAGACGGGAGGGGCGTCCCTCCCCTCATCGGCTGTAGCGTCCGACACATTTGGCAAGCCCCTCCCCGTCTGCAGTGTTAGATATATTCTGCCCACCCCTCCACGCCGGTAGTGTCAGATATTTGGCCCGCCCCTCTCCACTTACAGCAATGGACATTTTCGGCCCTCCCCACTACAGCAATGGGCATTTGGCCCGCCCCTCCTCACTTACAGCAATGGATATATTTGGCCTGCGCCTCTACACTTATAGCAATGGGCATATTCTGCCCACCCCTCCCCACTTACAGCAATGGACATTTGGCCCGCCCCTCCCCACTTACAGCAATGGACATTTGGCCCGCCCCTCCCCACTTACAGCTACTGACATTT